AGATAGATAGATAGATAGATAGATAGATAGATAGATAGATAGATAGAAAGTAAGTAAGTAAGTAAGTAAGTACGGGGAGGAGTTGAACAGTCTGATGGCTGCGGGACAAAGGACTTCCTGAATCTGTCCGTGGAGCAGGGCTGGGACTGAAGGAGCTCCTCTGCTTCATGATGGCGCCATGCAGAGGATGATCAGCATCGTCCATGATGGACAGCAGCTTACTGAGGGCCCTTTTCTCTGTAACCGATGTAAGGGACTGGTTCCCACAGAACCAGCTTTCCTCACCAGCCTGTCAAGTCGTCCTGCAGCTCTCCTCTTAATGCTGCCCCCCCAACACACCACAGCACAGAAGAGGACACTGGCTACCACAGACTGGTAGAACATCAGCAGCAGTTTCCTGCAGATACTGAAGAACTCAATATATTGTACCATTTTTAAGACTGTGTGGCTGTATTTGCATATTGTCAAGGACATCCTTGTAAAAGAGATTGATGATCTCAATGGATTTCTTCCTGGTAAAATAAAGTAATGAAAATAAAAAATTTAAAAAGCCTCCTCAGGAAGTAGAGCCTGTCGTGTTTCCTTGTTTCTAAATAATATTTGTATCGCAGACCAGAATGAGATTTTGTAAACTGCACAAGGAGAATTTCTCATGGCAGACTCAAGCTAACGGTTAGCATGACCTATTCTAAGAATGAACTTTTCATCAGAATAACTCCGACTCAAAGCTTGTTTAGCAAACACTGAAGTGCTCAAGCTGCTGCCCACGACCCGACTGCAGAACAAGCGGAAGATAATGGATGGATGGACTGAATATATATATATATATTTTTAGCCGTAGTAACTTGAGCTGTTGTTTGGGGCTGCAGTAGCTCGAGGGGTCAGTGCCGACGTCTCGTAGCCCTGAAGCTGCGGAGCTGAGCTCAGGTTGTGATGTGAAGGGTCTACAGCATAAAACAGTTGCCAAATCTTTCAAATTGTGCTAATTGTGCCGACCGCTGCAGAAGACAGCAGCCAAAAGAAAAACTTCAGCTGTTTCCAAGTTTTCCAACCAAATCTGATCCTTATGCTACGCTAACTGTTGCTAAACCCCACTACAGACCATTCTTCTCGGTCTAACTGGATTTTACGAATGCCCTTGTAACTCCAGAAAAAAAGGATGCCATCTTTAGTTTTGCAATTACTCGATTCTCAGAACAGCGACACTTAACCATTCAGGATGCATTCAGTGAACACGTTACAGAGGAAGATAGATCTTTTTGGTCAAGGAAGTTTTACTTGTGTAATAGTTGTAAATATATTGTTCCCTTGAAATGATAAATTTGATGTTTGAGTTGTTTTAGATGGTTGAAATTCACTCTTTTGGCCCTGATCTGGGTAGCTGCTGACTTGACTTCCTCCATATAATAAATATTTAGTCGTGTTGCTTTATTTTTAGTCTGATAAGCTTCTCCGATTCAGTGCAACACGGAAAAATAAAACGAAAATCTGTACTTTTTGGAGTCAGGCCTGCAGGCACTGTCCCAATTTAAAATAGGAGTGGGATTACTTGTGGCTCATTGTGGTTTTTAGTGTGTGAGACGGAGTGTGTGTATGTTCCCCCCCATGTAGCCAGCAGCGCACTTAGCACAGGCTTCAAATAGCTAACTCAAATAAAGTCAGAGGAGGCCATGGGTCGGAGAGGGACTCTGTGAGGGAGGCCTTCCCTAATGGAAGCCGATCTTTTGGGTTTCGCAGCGAGCAATGCCAGGAATGTGATGTTGTCCGGTGGCGGCAGTGAGAAGCACCTTGCCGCCAGGTGCTGGTGTGCAGCCTGACAGGAATTGCAAAGGCAGAGCCAGCAGGGGGAGAAAATGGTGGCAGGTGACTCAGCAGACTGGGAGCGGAGGCTCGATCAACCCCGAGAATCTGTGCAGGCCTGAAAAGGCAACACGACTCCCCCTCCGAAACAAGCATTTTCTCATCCACCAACCGCTCTTCCGTACTTTGCCTCCCGTCTTTTACGCACTGCGTTAAATTTCTATTCTTTCTCGTCCTTTTTACCTTTTGACGGCCTTCTTTGTGTGCAGGCTGTGGGAAAGTTTCCCGTAATGGTGAGGTCATCCACCACCGAAAGCCACCCCCACCTCTCAGGCTTGCACAGACACACACACACACCATCACTGCACCCCTCACCCTCCATGTTGCCCCCCCCCCCACCCAGGCCTGCCTAGGCAGGACGGCGAGTGTGTCCCCACATCTCTGTCCCACTTCCAGCCTCTCTGCTTCCCTGCAGAGACACAGAACGAGCTTCCTTCAGAGCATCTGATGGCAGTCAGTCTGTCTGAGAGGCACCTGGAGATGCATGAGGCTTTAGCCCCCCCCCCCCCCCCCCATTACTCTCTTTATCTCATTTAGATACACACAGTGTGACAAGTTTCCTCACATGATTCTTAAAGATCCCTGCTTTGAACAGACAGGAAACATGAATTTTCCCAGAAACCTCCTAAAGTTTCGGCTCAGAAAACCCAATTCAATTACTCATTTCTGCCATCTACTGGCAAAAACTGTAAACTGCAACACAAATATATGGAAATGGACCTTTTTTATTTATTTATGAATTTTTATGCATTTGTTGACCTTGGATGATCTGAGGCCACATTTAACAAACATGTGGTTAATAAAATAAGGTATTAGCACCGTATCATATCCAAATCAAAACACAATAATCAAAACGGCTCGGTCAGTTTGACAAATGTGCTAAAATTGTATGTGGTAGTCGCTGAGAATCCTTCACAGCACTTACTCTGAGATGAGCTTAATATAAAACTGGCATGAAAGGGGATTGCCCTTCAACATGTGCCTTTGTTTACAGAAAAGATACCTAAGTCTTTACGAAATTAATAATGTTCTTTTATTTTTGCATAAAACCAACACTTTAAATGAGGCCTTATAATCAGAGACACTGTGCTGAACTTTATTTACAAATTTGTGGGGAAAAAACAGACATGAGACTCGAGCTGTACATAAACATGTATTCAGGTTAACAACACAGTATTAACAACCATATTAGTACAACAAATGCATGTAGGTAGATAAAATAATGGCCCTTTCAATAAAATATGCAATATAATTTCCTGTTATTCTAATGTACAAAATATATGACAGGCATATTTAGAAAACACAATTTTTATACATCTTTAACATGGTATAAATATGAAAATGCACAATAAATCAAATATTAGTACAAAAAAACTTTTTATTTATTTATATTCAACATTTTTGTTGCTTTTGCTTTCATAAAAATAATTATCATATGTTTATTGGTACTGAAACTCAATCTGTGCATTATTTATAATTTAAAAAAAAGCTACAATTTAAGAAATAATTAATGCCCTCCAGTAGATGACCGGGATGGAGAGCATTTAGAAATGTTTTAACATATTGTGGAAAAAAAGTCCAACAGTGATTAAAATGTACTTTTGTTCTGTAACTTTTGTGAATAAAGTTGGTGGTAATGATGGTTTTGACCAGAAGCCCCAGGAACAAACCTGGAGGTCGTTTCCTGCCGGTAATCTGTATAAATTAGAGCTTGGCGCCATCTGGTGGCCACATCCTGCAGGGCACGCAGAGTTCATTCTGCAACAAGTCAGGATTTCAAGTCTTTCCTTTTTATGTTTTCATATTGAAGGGATGTTTGTGTCCTCCTTGTCCTTTCATTTTTTGTGCGAGCCGATCATGACCTTCGAGACAAAGTTGACGATGGCGCTGGCCGGCTGCTCCGGGTCGTGCTCAGCAAACAGGTGGCACACGTTTTCAGTGTCACTCTGAGATTTCTTGGCTACAAACCCAAATATCCTGGAAGACAAACACACAGAACTGTTTATTTCGATCTGATTAAGATTAACTTTTTAAAACGTGATAATCGTGATGCAAAACTTGAGCTTTTTCCATGTTTTTCTTTCAAATATCATAACAAGGATTCTAAGTATGAATCAGAGGTTCATTCAATTTGATTTGGACTTTCCAAGTCTAGCTAAAGGTATTAGAAATATATGAATGCTATATTTTCTCCAATTCTGCATTTTATAATACATTATTTGATATGTAAACAGATACCTATCGTGTCTAATGATTTAAAACGCTCCTAAAATGGACTGTACCATCTGAACTGTTTCTGTGCATGTGCAACGTGCAGCTAAGCTCGGACCGTTCTCCGACTCCGTTACTGTAATAACCTTAAGCCTCTGACACAACGTTTTATGGTTTATAGACACAACAATGAGCTAAATGTGTTTACGCATTCATCTCCACTTGTAATTCAATGAAACTGGGCAAAACTATTTTCTTTTAAAGTTTATAAAAAAAATCATAATGCCATACAATACTGTCCAAAGTTGATGTTTAAAATTTTTTTTTAAAATGTATAAACTAATACATCTTTAACTGTGTGATGTGCCATGCAAAACATAATTTCTGGATAATTTAGATTCATAAAAACAAACATTTCTCAGAAACAAAGTCTCTGAGATGGACTTACTTTGCAGTGGAGCCGCTGCCCCTCGTCCACCTGTTTGGGACAAAATGAAACGTGTTAACAGTTTTAATAGGATTTAAATAAATGAATTAATGATCTATATATTGTTTGCTGTTCTGACCTTTTAGTTATTTCAACATAAATTTCAACATTTATTTTCAAGCTTTTGTCCAGTTTGAGCGATGAAATCACTAAGATTCAACTGAGGCAAAGAAAAATGTTGGAAAGTGGCGGGAGTTCAAACCAGAACAGCTTATTTTTATTAATCGATTTCAACTATCATATTCTTCGCCGTATAAGTCGCACCTATTTGCATAAATTTGCACGCCCTACGATTTATACACCAAAGCGACTAATATACGTTTTTTTCCCAGATTTATAACCAATTTTTATCTGAGATCTGACGATTTCATTCATTCTGTTATGGAAAATGTTGAACACTACCATTTTCATCCACTAGAGGGCGGTTGACCAATATGGCAAGCCTAGTGCCTCATTAATAGGTAAAAGTGGCTATTAATGAGACACTTGGCTTGCCATACAAGCCACCTTCTTTTCGCTCCAGAACTCGTGGAGCAAACGTCAAATCAGCTGCATTTTGCTGCACCGCCCAGGTGAAATGCAGCTGATTTGACCATTAAAGTCCTTTTATTAAGTAAAAGTTCAACTGAGACACACCTTTACTATAAAGCTGAGCAAACAAATAATTGTTTTTAGGTGGTTATCTGGTTAAATTTCGAAGAAATGCACAGCGAGCCCTCCCTCTGCACGCTCCCGCAGCTGCAGATCGATTTTTGAAATGCAGCTGATTTGACCGTCAAAGTGCATTTATTAAGGAAAAGTTCAACTGAAACACATCTTTGCTATAATTTTGAGCAAACAAATTGTTTTTAAGTGTTAATCTTGTTAAATTCTTGTTAAAGTCCTCTCGTGCACGCTCCTGCAGCCGCCATTTACAATTTTGGCACACATTTCCAGGTTGTCAGCGGTGACTCATAACAGATGTAACTTATACGGCGAGGAGACAAATGTATGTTTTTCTCCAAATTATTAGACATATTTGGACTGATGCGACTTGTATGGCGGAAAGTACGGTAATCAGACCAGATAATTCTGGATTAAATGTTCAAACACAGAAAAGTCAAATCTTTCTGCTGCAGGAACTCAGTAGCTTTGATTTGGTGGCGTGAATTTAACGAAGATTTACTGATGGATTTCATTTGGAGAAAGTTTGTTAGGAAACCTGGCAACCTTTGCTGTAACATATATTTGACATCATCATTATTATTTTCCTCTGTGACATTGTGCCTGCCTCGTTAGATAAGCTGACAAGCTTCCAGCGGAGGTTCTGTAGATTGTGGTTGGCCTCCTGAAAGCTCCGGCTGGAGGCATAAATTTATCATTTACTTACAAGCAACATGGTTAAATTGGACATTAATTTTGTTTTACAGACTTTAAATATGCCCCAGAAGTCCTTGCAGCGGTCAACAACCGTTCCAAATTGTTAGTGGAAAGTTTTATTGTTAGTATTTTTTACTCACTTCCTTCCCTGCGAGTCCAAAGAACAAAATATGACGGTGTTGACGGCGTAGTGCCTCCTGAAGAACAACCTGCAGAAACAAACAAGCAATCGCCAAATCTTGTGTTATAATCTCCTTTTTTTTAAAGCGATTTTTAATCAAACCATGGTCATTATGGGAAATTATGGTCTAGCTCGTCTTATTTTTCTGATATTTCCCACTTTTACCTCGTTTATAATATTTCAAACGTAATTTATTCTGACTTTTTACTCATTTTTAAGCACTTGTGCCCAATTCTGCAACTTAGAAGCTTCCGTCAAACAAACAAGTTATGTTTATTAGCAGCAACAATAATAAAAAAATGTTCTGCTAATTTTGGTTTCTGGCACTAATTATTAAAATAAAATGATTCTGTGATAAGTCTGCGAAGACAAGCCCCTCTTCAGGCTGTTTGTGACTGTTCGTGAGTCGCTAACAGAGCCGCTGACGTCCTGCTGAGATGTTCGAATTTAAAAAGGAAGCGGAGTCCAAAGAGCTATTATGACTCAAAAACAGTTAAAACACGTTCAACGATTCATTGAAAAGTCAATACAAGAATTATTTGTAGCATCTGTGTTTTTACTCAGACACATTCCTGTTTTTATTTTTCATTTTGCCAGTTCTTTATTGGGCTCTTAGGCGCGAGAGTTTGGTTCACGTTGCAGTAAGTCTGATCCTTTCAGGGTGGGAGTTGGACTCCACCAGGGCTGCCCGTTGTCACCGATGCTGTTCATAACTTTTATGGACAGAACTTCTCGGTGCAGCCAGGGGGTGCAGGGAGTCCGGTTCAGTGGCCTCAGGATTCCATCTTTGCTCTTTGCAGATGATGTGGTCCTGTTGGCGTCATCGTGCCGTGATCTCCAGCTCTCACTGGAGCGGTTCACAGCCAAGTGTGAAGCAGCTGGGATGAGAATCAGCACCTCCAAATCTGAGGCCATGGTCCTCAGTCAGAGAAGGGTGGACTGTTCTCTTCAGGTCGAGGGTGAGGTTCTGCCTTCAGTGGAGGAGTTCAAGTATCTCAGGATTTTGTTCATGAATGAGGGAAGAATGGAGCGTGAGATTGACAGATGGATTGGTGCAGCGTCTGCAGTGTTGTGGACTCTGCCGGTCCGTTGTGGTGAAGAGGGAGCTGAACTGTAAGACAAAGCTCTCCGTTTACCGGTCGGTCTATGTTCCTATCCTCAACTATGGTCATGAACTCTGGGTAGAGACTGAAAGAACGAGATTGTGGATACAGGAGGTTGAAATAAGTTTCCTCTGCAGGGTAGCTGGACGCTCCCTTAGAGACAGGGTGAGAAGTTCAGTTCTCAGGAGAGACTAAGAGTAGAACCGCTGCTCCTCCACATCGACAGGAGCCAGTTGAGGTGGTTCAGGCATCTGGTCAGGATGGACCCTGGGTACCCCCCTAAGAGGTGCTTCAGGCATGTCCGACTGGGAGGAGACCCAGGACACACTGGAGAGACTTTGTTTCTCGGTTGGCCTGGGAACACCTCGGAGTCCTCCCTGAAGAGCTGGAACAGGTGGTTGTGGAAAGAGATGTCTGGACCTCCCTGATCAAACTGCTGCCCCGAGATCTGACTTCAGAACAAGTGGAAGATAATAGATGGATGTATGGATGGATGTATGGATGGATGTGGCCAGTTCTACTCCTCCTGCCGACGCTCTAACACTCACTTCCTCTGGTTGTCGGTGAGCGTGATTCCCTGAGCCGACACCTTGAAGTGGACCACGGTGGAGGGCGGCGGAGGGTCAGCGGACAGCGTCACCGTGGTCGCCTTCTGGACCGCCTGTTGTCCCGTCAGAGACTCCATCTCCACGGAGCCCAGGTACCACACGTTACACGCTGTAAACATGCACATTGCAGGAGAATGGATTAAATTTATACGCAGCGAGCTTTAGCTATAAATCCACTCCAGGTGCCGTTACCTGCACCCTGTCTGAGAAGTTCAGCTGCAGAGTTTGTTGCAGACGGTGGTGAAGAGTCATTCAGCTCCTCCAGCGGGTCTGAAGAAACAAAACGTCCATGAGATGATTTCACATTAAACACCTTATATGCTCGGTTTTCTATCATCTGTAAACGGAACAGAAATGGCTTTGCTTTGTTTTGCTGGTCACACGTCAGGGTTGAATTCCCGGCTCTAATTTCGTGACAAACTGCGACACAGACTGTTTACCTCTGTCAGGCAGGATGAGTTTACACGGCAGAGCCAGGGGGGTGATGGAGTGCTGACACACCAGAGCTGTGAGACTTCCTGACGGGGCAGAGAAACTTCTCATGAACCAGAACAAACACCGCCGCACTCGACACGTCTCACCGACAGAGGGAAGTAAAGGAAACAAAAGCCCTACAATAAACCTGCTTCATCGAACACGTCTGAGGAAGAGGAGGGAACTTACAAAGAAACCTTGTTTTGTGAATACACCAATTGCACTACTTCAGCTTTTTAGGTAGCATAGTTTCTGCCGTACAAGTCGCATCAGTCCAAATATGTCTGATAAAGTGGAATAATCCATAAATATGTCTCTTCGCCGTATAAGTCGCATCTATTATGTATCACCGCTGACCACCCGGACAGGTGGGCCAGTGTTGTGCCAAAAATCGATTGGCTGCCAAATGGCGGCTGCAGTATGGGAGGACTTTAACAAGAATTTAACAAGATTAACACTTAAAAACTATTTGTTTGCTCATAATTATAGCAAAGGTGTGTCTCAGTTGAACTTTTCCTTAATAAATGCACTTTAATGGTCAAATCAGCTGCATTTCACCTGGGCGGCGCAGTGAAATGCAGCTGATTTGACGTTTGCTCCAGGAGTTCTGGAGCGAGATGAAGGTGGCTTTATACGGCAAGCCAAGTGTCTCATTAATAGCCACTTTTACCTATTAATGAGGCACTTGGCTTGTCATATTAGTCGACCGCCCTCTAGTGGCTGAAAATGGTAGTGTTCAATATTTTCCATGTCAGAATGAATTAAATCGTCAGACCTCAGCCAAAAATTAGATTATAAATATGAGAAAAAAGACAAATATGTCGCTTTGGTGTATAAGTCGCAGGACTTGCAAATTTATACAAAAAGGTGCAACTTATACGGCGAAAAATACGGTATTTAAAAATGGAAAAAATAAAGTAGGAAACACGCTGTAGCTTTGCAAGAGTCTCACCAAAGTACGGCTCGTTGGGACAGCCTTTGAGGCGAACTCCTTTCGGCGTGCACTCTATCAGGAAGTGTCTAACCAGTTCGTTGGACAGGTCTCCTGCAGAAATGTCAATAAAAACAACATTTCAGGACAAAAGCATTGAGTGCGCAGCTGAAAGGAATAATTGGAGGAAGGAAACGGCTCACGCAGATGACCTTTTTAACTCCGACGTCTATTTTCATTACTGCGACGTTCTCAAGTATAAAACAAACACACAAAAAAAAGCTCTGCAATGTTTGTCTTTGATTCTTAAGTTTCGGACCTTTTTTACTGTGATGTAACACAGTCGGAGGAGGCGTGGCCACCTTCATGGCCAATCCGTAGGCCCCTCGAAACGAGTGGCTGTCTCTGACGATGAACGAGCCCGGCTCTTTGTCTTTCAGCACTGCGATGGCTGTCCGGTGGGTCAACAGAGAGAGGAAGCAGAGCGAGAGGCAGAAGTTAGGAGGAAAACTTTGCACAAGGGTGTATTATCTGCTCACAAGTGGCCGTTAGGCTTTCTGCTCCAAAGCCAATATTTACCTTGGTCTCTGGAAATGTCGGGCTTGTACCAGAACTTAGATGTGTCCTGAACAAACTTCACATTATCCTGCTTACTGCCTGAATCTGAGAGACACAAATCAAGGATTTCTTTTAGGTTTCAGGTGGATTTCAAGTCCAAAATGGTACAAAGAAAACCTCTGGTCATGTGGAACATCAGCAAGCACAGTTTTATCTTCTGGATAAATTCAGAAGGAACGAAAAGGTTTTGCAGCTTCAGTTTTCAGATGATGTCAACAACAGTCATTGAACAAATGGACTGGGGCGTCAGAGTGTCCCTCCTACTGGGTCAGGGTACCTGCTCCGGGTGAATGGGCCTCAGCGAGTCCTCTGAGCGGGTCAGGGGTCATGGAGGAGGAGAACCGGATGCTGAAGCCGCTGTCGCTGTGAGGGCTGGAGAATCCGCTCAGAGGTGGGGAGCGTGAGCCGAGCTCTCCCCCCTCACCTGCTCTTTTTTTCTCGGGCAGCAGCGGCGCGAGCCCCCCGTCTCCCCCGAGAGTCAGACTCCCGAGACCCTCCACGGCGTCCAACAGGCTGTGATCCAGGCCGCCGTTGCCCAAAATCAACAACGAGGACAAATCTGTGCTGTTGGCCCCGTTGCGCACCCTCGGGCCCCTCGACGCTCCCCTGGGAGAACTGTGGGCATTGGGGGAGTGGAGGGAGAGAGGGGGTGAAGGTTGGGGGGGATATGGGGAGTTCAGGGAGTTTGGAGTTCTGTCGAGCCAAAGTGGAGGAGGAGTGGAGCTGCAGGAGGAGAGACAAGTACAGATAAATGCAGTGAATTATATGAAGTATGAGACGTGAGCGTTAAATCTGAGGTCGTGGTCCTCAGTCTGATTGTTCTCTTCAGGTCGAGGGTGAGGTTCTGCCTCAAGTGGAGGAGTTCAAGTATCTCGGGGTTTTTGTTCACGAGTGAGGGAAGAATGGAGCGTGAGATTGACAAATGGATTGGTGCAGTGTCTGCAGTATTGCAGACTTTGTGCCGGTCCATTGAGGTGAAGAGGGAGCTGAGCTGTCAGGCAAAGCTCTCTGTTTACCGGTCAGTCTAAAATCCTCCCCTCACCTCTGGTCATGAACTCTGGTAAGGATGGACCCTGCAGACACCACCTTAAGGAGGTGTTTTGGGCATATCTGACTGGGAGGAGACCCCAGGGAAGATCCAGGAGTCTCTCCAGCGTGTCCTGGGAACTCCTTGGAGTCCTCCCAGAAGAGCTGGAAGAGGTGGCTGTGGAGAGAGATGTCTGGGCCTCCCTGCTCAAGATGCTGCACCGAGACCTGACACCGGAACAAGTGGATGGATGGATGGATGGATGGATGGATGGATGGATGGATGGATGG